AAAATCATTCTTTGCTGATCAGGGGGAATTCCTTCCTTATCCTGGATTTTGGCTTTTACATTTTCTATTGTATCCAACGGTTCAGCCTGGTGGGTGATGGTCTTCCCTGTGAGGGTTTTTACGAAAATCTGCATCTTGGTGGCGATCCCACCGAAGATGGTGGATCGGAAAGCGGTGGCTTGCTTTTTCACTTTCCCTCTCTCTCTGTCTGTGTCTCTCTCTGGTTAAATTAAAATAAATTAATGAATAAATTAAATAAATAATTCTTTAACTTAAGTAAAATTTAAAACATAATAATAATAATAAGTAAAATTAAATAAAGAAATAATTTTGTAATTAAAGTAATAGGGGTCGGCAAGTGGCATGGTGGTTAAGAACATGCTGGACTCCCACGTGGCTGACTGCGGTTCAAGACCCAGACCTGGCAGCTTGCTTTCTCACTTTTCCTCTCTCCTTCTCTTTCACTCTATCTCTCTCATTCTGTCCCTCTCTGGGCAAATTAAAATAAAGATAAATAACTCTTTAAAATTTTAAATTAAAAAATGAATAATTTTTAAAAAAAGAAAAGAAACTCACATTGGGTACACACACATGCATGCCCAAAATCCCCAGAGGAGAATGAAAGAGAAGAGATTGTAGCATGGTCATCCCCCTTGAGGGTTGATTTCTCACTTTCTATTTCTCTGTCTCTCTTTTAAAGAATTATTTTATTTAACTTTATTTATTACTATTATTATTATTATTTTCCAGTTTGATCAGACAGAGAGAGAGAGAGAGAGAGCGAGAGAGAGAAAGTGAGAAAGCAAGCCACCAGATCTAAGACTTAAACCATGGTTGGCCATGTGGGAGTCCCGTGCCCTTATCCAGCATGCCAGTGAAGGAAGTATTCTGAATATGGACTAGATTTAACTCCTAGCTGTGGTATTATATTGATACTATAATTTTTTTAAAAGAATTATTTTATTTAACTTTATTTATTTATCTATTAATTTATTTATTTTAATTTGACCAGAGAGGGATAGAGTAAGAGAGAGAGAGAGAGAAAGTGAGAAAGCAAGCCACCAGGTCCAGGAATCAAACTGCGGTCACCATGTGGGAGTCCAGTGCCTTTAACCACCACACCACCTGCCGGCCCCATACTATAGCTCTACAAGACACAGCAACCAGGGAAAGTAAGAAAAGAATACATAGATCTCTCTGTATTACTTTTTACAATTATATGTAAATCTATAATAATTTCTAAATTAAAAATCTGGTTTAAAAAAGTAGGAGGGGACAATAAGTAGCATGATGGTTGGGGTGCTAGACGTCCACATGGCCAACCACAGTTCAAGTCCCAGACCTGGTGGCTTGTTTTCTCACTTTCCCTCTCTTCTTGCTCTCCCTCTCTCTGGTGAGCACACATGCTCTATAGCAAAATGACACAAATAATAATACATGAAATAAAATCAAATAAATTATTGGGATCAGTAGATGGCATAATGATTATGTCACTGGACTGCGGATAGTGTCCCGGACGTGGCAGCTTAAAACTCACGCCAGGTGCGTGTGCATGCGTGCCCAAGATCCTGAGAGGAGAATGGAGGAGAAGGGACTACGGTGTGGCCATTCCCCCCCGGAGGACGTGGGGGGGTTATTTCTCGCTTTCTATCTCTGTCTCCCCCCATCTCTTCAGCAAGCACATGAGCCCCATAGCAAAAATCTCTCTAAAAAATAAATTAAATAAACAATTTAAATAAATAAATAAACAAATAAAACTTTTTTTTTAAAGTAAGAATGGGTCAATAGGTAGTATGGAGGTTAAAGTAACTGGATTGCAAGTGGACAACTGTGAGACTCAAGTCTTAACCCATGGCTTGAAAATCATGCTGGGCATGTGTGCATGCATGCCCAAAATCCCGAGAGAGAATGGAGGAGAGTGGATTACAGTGTGACCATTCCCCTGTGGGGACTGATTTCTCGCTTTCTGTCTCTTCTCTAGCAAGCACATGTACCCAACAGAAAAATGAAAAAAAGAAAATAGGAATATTAACAAGGTAACAGTAGAGACGGGAAGACTATAATTATCCTTATTTTTTTCTTTCTATTTTTCTGCATTTTCTAAATTTCCCCACAAATCTTCATAATTTATAAGGAAGAAAAAAATATTTTTCAACTCTCATTTTTTCAACCCTCAATTTTAATTAGAATACACATAAATACTAAATCCTTAGCAAACTCTGATGTTAAAAAAAAAAAGATGTAAAGGGCATTTTTACTCATTGTACATGGTCATCTATCCATAGAAGGTATAATTATATAACAATATAAGGACCATAATTTTATCACCATCGTTTCTCAAGTAAAAGTACCATCAGATAACATCTACTCATAGTCTCATTTCAGAAAAAATCAAGTCATCGGCTTTAAACATACAAACTAGAATTCTGTCATATTTGAAACATACCTGCATACGGAGCCATTCCTAATATTGTTGGCATCAGGCCTCTGTAAAATCCAAGGAAACCACCTTCCTTTTGAGTAAAGAAAATTAGAAATAAGATAACATTATGCTCATTGTGATAAACATTAAAGAACAGGGGCCAACAGGGGGAGTGGCAGTTAAGGTGCTGGACTACTACATGGCCGACTGCGGTTCAAGTCCTGGATCTGTTAGCTTATTTTCTCACTTTCCCCTTCTCTCTCTCTGTCTCTCTCTAGTAAAATTTGGAAAAATAAATAATTAAATAAATAAAATAATTCTTAAAAAGAAAAAAGATAGTTAATTAAAAAAAAAATCAAAGAACAAACATATGCATTAAAATGGAAATATTATTCTGGAACCCATGCTGAAACAGAAAGATATTTTCCATAACTTATTATTATTAATAATAATACCAATAACTATAAACTAAAGAGTAATTATCTAGATAATATTCAAAAATTTTTTCCTAAATATAAAGAAGCATGCTATAGACAAGAAAGGTTAATATAAAATACCTTTGCATAAATTGTTTTGAATGCATGAATAATTCCTGTATAGGTGTGCTCCCCTTTCACCTGGAATGCAAGGCGTACTCGAACCATGTCAAGAGGGTATGTACAGATAACTGCTGTCATACCTGGAAAAAAATGCCAAAACTTAAACGTAAGAAAAAATTTGGCATAGAGTCAGCAGATAGATAGATATCTTCCCTATCATTAGTGCTCCCAGTATGATAGCAATGATAAAATCCAGTGAAATCAAAGGTACTATTGTATCATCAGAAAAGTCATGACACATTTTTACATAGAAAATGACTTTTCTGAGAACCCAATATTATTAATAGAATTATATATCATTAGCTGGAAAACACCCTAGTAAGTAAAGGGTCTTTTCGTGGAAATTGTTTCAAGTTCTGGGACCAGCATATAGCCTAATGGCTACAACACTGAACTCCTACATAGTTGATGCAGTTTGAGTCTCAGACCCGGCACCTTAAACTCATGCCCGGCGCATGTGTGTGCCTGCACAATATCTAGAGAAGAGAATGGAGAAGGGATTGCAGTGTGACCATCCACCCTGGGGGATGATTTCTCACTTTCTGATTCTATGTCTCTCTGGCCAGTGAATAAGCTGAATAGCAAAAAGTCCTCTAAACAACGACAACAACAACAAACCTATTTTAAGTTCCTACTATGAATTTATAAGATGGGATTTTTGAACTTCAAAAGCTTATGGAAAATTGGTATGATGAAAAACTATATATGGATTTTCATTTTTTTAATTAATTAATTTATTTAATTCCATTTGTTATTACTATTATTTTTTTTAAAATTTATAATTATTTGTTTTTATTTTATTTATCCATTCATTGATTTTTTTATTTTGACCAGAGAGAGACAGAGGGTGAGAGTGAGAGAGAGAGGAAGTGAGAAAGCAAGCCACCAGATTCAGGACTCGAACCCTGGTCGGCCATGTGGGAGTGTCCAGCGCCTTAACCACCACGCCACCTGCTGGTCCCATTTACTATTATTTTTTAATTTGACCAGATGGAGACAGAGAAAGAGAGAGAGACAGGGAAAGTGAGAAAGGAAGCCACGAGGTCTGGGATTCAAACCACAGTCAGCCATGTGGGAATACAGCACCTTGAACCACCATACCACCTACCAGCCCCAGATTTCCATTTTTTTAAAAGAATTATTTTATCTAACTTTATTTAATTTTTATTTGACCAGAGAGGGACAGAGTGAGAGAGAGAGAAGGAAAAAGGGAAAAAGTAAGCTGCCAGGTCCAGGACTCAACCGTGGTTGGCCATGTAGGAGGAGTCCAGCGCCCTTAACCACCATGCCACCTGCCAGCCCCAGGAAATACGATGTCTATGACACTAGGCAAGCCATTTGATTTTTCACTTATTTTTCCATATCCTAAAGTTGAGAGATGCTTAACCTAAACAAACATAAGTTCTATTTATTTATTTATTTTACAAAGGACGCATGCACACTTCAGAGAGATTCGAGAGAGATAGAGAGAGAAGCATCCCCCAATGGAGTGTGGTCAAGGTACAATCCCTTCTCCATTTCTTATCCTATTGAGATCTGGGGCATGGCGACCAGCAACTGGACTACAATATAGTCAATTGCAGTTTAAGTCCTAAACCCAATGGCTTAAAACTCACACCAGGCACCTGTTCATGCATGCTTAAGATCCCAAGAGGAGGAGCCAGCAGGTGGTATGGTAGTTAAGGGTGCTGAACTCCCACATGGCCAACCATGGTTCTAGTCCCAGACCTGGCATTTGCTTTCTCACTTTCTCTCTTTATCTCTCTGGTCAAATTAAAATTAATTAAATAAATAAATAAAGTTAAATAAAATAATTCTTAAAAAAAAAAAACAAAGGAAGAAAGAAAGAAAAGATCCCAAGAGGAGAATGGAGGGATTACAACATGTCCATCCCTGCTGGGTATGATTTCTCACTTTCTGTCTCTGTCTCTCCATATATCTGCCGAGTACATGCACCCTATAGCAAAAAATCTCTAAAAATGAAAAAAACAATTTTAATAAAAATTTGGGACATGTACTCAATGTGTTTTTCTCTTTTTTTTTTGGAGAGGTTTTTGCCATAGGGCGCATGCGCTCGCCAGAAAGACAGAGAGAGACAGAAAGTTAGAAATCACTCCTCGGGGAGGGGATGGCCACGCCACAATCCATTCTCCTCTTGGAATCTTGGGCACACACGCACATGCGCCCGGCATGAGTTTCTTTCTTTCTTTTTTTTTTTTTTTCTTTTTTTGGAGAGGTTTTTGCTATAGGGCGTGTGCACTTCGCCAGAAAGACAGAGAGAGACAGAGAGATAGAAAGCGAGAAATCACCCCTCGGGTGGATGGTCATGCTGCAATCGCAGCATGAGTTTAAGCCACCAGGTCTAGGACTCGAACTGCAGTCGACCACATGAGAGTCCAGCAACATAGCCATTATGCCAACTGCCAGTCCCCTCAGTGTGTTTTTTAAGCTGCCAGGAATGGGATTCAAACCATGCAATCAGTCATGTGGGGTTCCTTAACCACTAGGGCACATGTAAAAAGATGACAGCTATGTTCTACCTAATCAATGTCATACATACGATCTAAATCAAATTAAGTATTTTTTAAGCTTTTTTTTTTAGAATTATTTATTAATTTTTTTTTTAATGTTAAGAGAATTTTACTTAAGACTTAAAACCAGGAAACAAGTTAGGATTCTGTTCAAGTAGTAGCTACATAAAAATATGGAACGCTTCACGAATTTGCATGTCATCCTTGTGCAGGGACCATGCTAATCTTTTCTGTATCGTTCCAATTTTAGTACATGTGCTGCCAAATTGAGCACTATCATTCATTTCTTATTTTAATTTGACCAGAGAAAGACAGATACACAGAGAGAAGGAAAGTTAGAAAGCAAGTCACCAGATCCAAGACTCAAACCATGGTCGACTATGTTGGAATGTCCAGCGCCTTAAACACTACACTACCTGCCAACCCCAAATTAAGTATTTTAATTAAAAATTAAAATTAAGATTAAAATTAAGTCAGAAATAGGGGCCAGCAGGTGGGATGATGGTTAAGGCACTGGACTTTCACATGGCTGACAATGGTTCAAGTCCTAGACCTGGAGACTTGCTTTCTCTCCTTTCCCTTTCTCTCTGTCTCTATCTCTTCTGGTCAAACTAAAAAATAATAATGGAACCAGAAAATAGCATAGTAGTTATGTTACTGGGCTTTCACATGGTCAACTGTAGTCCAAGTCTCATACCCAGTGACTTCATAATCACACTGGGTGCCTGTGCGTACATGCCCGGGATCCAGGGAGGAGAATAAAAGAGAAGGAATTACAACCTGGCTATTCCCCCTCAGGGGTGATTTCTCACTTTCCCTGTCATTGTCTCTGTCTTGATCTCTCTCTGACAAGCACACATGTCCTAAGACAGAAAAAAATTCTTAAAAAATAAAAATAATAGGGGCTGGCAGGTGGTACGGTAGTTAAGGGTACTGGACTCCACATGGCTGACCGCGGTTTGACTCCTGGACCTGGCAGCTTGCTTTCTCAACTTCTCTCTCTCTCTCTCTCTCTCTCTCTCTCTCTCTCTCTCTGTTTCTGTGGCAAGTGCACACAAAAAAAAAGAATAAATAAATAAATAAACTTAATAAAAAAATTATTTAAAAAATAAAAATAAAATAATAATAATACCAAATAGAATTAAATAAATAAATAAATTTTTAAAAATTGATCAGAAACAAAAAATACATATTCCTCTTACCTGCCATGGAACCAGCCATTAACCTATGCACATGACCAGAAACTCCCAGCTTTGTAGTAACGAACTAGAAAACAAAAACACTCAATTAAATGAGATTTATTTCTTTAGAATTATTTTACTTAACTTTATTTACTTGTTTTTATTCTTATTTTTATTTTTATTTTTATTTGACCAGAGAGGGACAGAGAGAGAGAGAGAGAAAGCAATCTGCCAGGTCCAGGACTTGAACTGCAATCAATCATATGGAAGTCTAGTGCCTTTAACCACCATGCCACCTGCCAGATCCAAATGAGATATTTTTTAAATATTTCTTTTCACTGTTTAATAATGACACATTATTTCAGAAGAGTTATAGGTTGAGTAAAATCTTTGTGCTAGCACCAACAGATGGTATAATGGTTATGTCGCTAGACTCCCACATTGTTGACCACAGTTTAAGACCCGGACCCAATGGCTTAAAACTCACACTGGGGGTGTGTACGTACATGTCCAAAATCCCAAAAGGAGAATAGAGGAGAAAGGATTGTGGCATGGCCATCCCCCCTGGAGGGGTGATTTCTCACTTTCTGTCTCTGTCTCTCCAGTGAATGCATGCACCCTATAGCAAAAATCTCTCTGAAGAAAAAAAAAACTTAGTGCTAAATATGAATGAAATGAGCACAATTATATAAAGCTGAGCAGTATTATGTCCTACCAGAAAGAGGTATTTTCAGCTAGCTTCTGCTCTAATTTTTTCTACTTCTGAACAAGCAATCTTGTTTAGCATTGCCAAATATACTATATATATAT